GGAAGATTAGGAGTCCTTTTCCTCTTTCATTTTCCTTGTCTAAGTTTGTAATTTGGCCTGCAATAATATGCTAACACTTGTAATAAAAATTATTGGAGTTTTAGTTATATTTGTATGCAGTAATTTTTTGGGCAATCATCTTCAATTAAGAGCGCATAGTGCACTTCAACTTGAGATAAGGAGAAAGAATTCAACATCTCAATTGGAAGACACATCTCATTAGAAACTTGATTTTCTACATAATTTAAATTTGGCGTGACTGTCTTTAGAGTATTTCGAATAGTAACAGAGACGTGTGTTATTGAAGAGATTCAACCAAATACTAAAGCTTGTAGTTGTAGCCCCATGATATGTTTTATACCCTAACAATCATTATCATTAAAGTATTTTCAGTAGTAACAGAGAAACATTTTAGTTAAAACCTCCCTTTCTACATAATTAAAGTTGTGCATTATTATGTTTAAAATATTTTCAATAGAAGAAACTTTCACTTTCATCTAATTAGGATTTGGTCATCATTGTCAATAAAACATTTTCAACAGTGATAGAGATGTCTTTCTATTTTCTAAGAACCTCATTTTCTAACTAATATAGATTCACCATCATTCCCATTAAAATATTTCTAACCAATTTAGATTCTCTCATAAATCTATTTTCACTACCAATACAAATGGCTCAATAAGAATCTCACTTCACATGTAATTATGATTGGGTATTATTGACCTAGAAATATTTTCAATAGCAATATAGATATGTCATATTTAACTAAGAACCTCATTTTCTGCGTAATTCCGTTCCAACATGACTATTTTTAAATATGTTCAATAGTACTAGAACCACGTACGTGTTTGTTAGAACCCCACTTTCTACCTAATTGAGATACATCGTCATCACTCCTATTAAAATATTTTCGCTTCTAAAAAAAAAAGTCTCAATTCGAACCTCATTTTCTATGTAATTCAGATCAAAATTTACTGTTTTTGAGATATTTTCAATAACAGACACGTCTTTGTTAAAACCTTCACTTTCTATATAATTAAGATTCATCCTCACCATCATCCCAACATTTTCAATAGTGATGGATATGGACATGTGTGTCTAAGAACTTCATTTTCTAATTAAATTAGATCCACTATCATTTCCATTAATTTATTTCCAATAGCAGTAGAGACATGTCGCTTCCAATTTATTTAAGATTTTCCATCTCTACCAAATAAGCTATGTTTAGTTCAAAGAATTGGGGAGAAATGAAGTAAAAAAACACATCTCTCCTTAAATTCTTTTACTACATTAAAAAGATTTTTTTTCATTTTCTAGTTTATTTTTCCTTCCGGTTTTCTTTTTCCCTCTATAACCAAATAAGAAAAAAAATTCCTCTTTACAATTTTTTCCATTGCCAATTTTTTAAAACCAAACATAGCCTTACAATATTTTTAGTAGAAATGGAGACCTCTCAACTAGAATCTCACTTCCTCCTATGTAATGTCATTCAGATGCACCGCTCAAAAAACCCCTTTTCAAGCAATTTCCCTAGAAATAAGGTTTGTCATTTATACCTCCTTATCATCATGTATATGCATCTTACTGGAATATGATAGCAATATATTATTATCTTCCTACCTGAGTGTTTGTCTAGTTTTCATTTTTTGAACTCAATCATTTTTTATCATTTAATATATAATTAAATAAAATATATATGACATATTAGTTAGATAAAATAATATTTTGATACTATTTTATAAAATAGTTTGAAAATAAATCAACTAGAATTATTTTTGTATCAAAATCTAATATCTTTTTTACCAAAAATATAAAAATTGGTCAATTTTGGTAAAAGTTGGTCAATTTTGGTAAAAGGTGCACTTTTAACTTTTAACTTATGGTAAAAGTTGGTCAATTTTGATCAAAAATTTCAAAATTGAACAAATACTCAAAGACGGAGGTAGTAGTCCGTAGGTCACAATGACGATGAAAGTGCAGCTTCACTACCATTAAAATATTCCAACACCGATAATAATGTCGTGGTAGAACCTCACTTCTTAACTACTCTCTTTGTCCCATAATGGATGTCATTCTCTGAACAACGTGTAAAATTTCATTACTTTTTAAAATCATTTTGATTACAAATTAGTACAGAAATAAAAAATAAATTATATTGTTTAAAACTGCATAAAAATTTCTATTGAACAAGAGGTGACAAGAATATTTTATTTATCAAATTATCAATGAAAACAAACAAAATTTATCGAGAGACCACAATAGTAACAGTGATATACATTTAGGAATGGAAAGAGTATAAGACTTGGTGCAAGAGTTTTTATAGATGTTATAGTTGGAAATTCGGAGTTAAAAAACATTAGAACGGTCATTCTTGGATAAAAATTTCAATGGTATTCACTAATGGTTTTGAGAGTTATTTAACTGGCGTGTGCTCTTTTAAATGAGGAGAAAGTTTTGATATAATATATGCCAAATTGGTTAATAGCTAAATGCAAAATTGGTTCTCAAATTTGATCCGTCACGTAAAATAGATAAGTTTGTGTAGGAGTTTGTTCCACATACGATTTTGAACCTTCATATTTATTCTTATTTATTTATATTAAGGAGCATTTATGAGGTTATTAAAAGTTGTGAGCGTCCATTGTAAGCCTATGTACGTCATTGCAGGCCGGTTCGAAAGACACAACACAAGCGTAAGAGCATCTCCAACCATATTTGTCATATTAGCTTTCTATTGTTGTATTTTAACAAGTGAATAGTAATATAGAAAATTATTTGTTGTCCTATTCTCCAATCATAACTTGCTATATTTTAAATTTAAGAGGACAAAGATTGAAGGAGGAACGTAGATGTTCTATGGTGCAAACTTCAACGGAGATGCTTAATTTCAAAGTGGAGGATGGGCTTGCTATAATTTGATTGGCTTGGTATATTTAGCAAACCAAACTTAATTTTTGACAAGCATGTTAAAATATAGCACACCCCTTGGAGAAAAGAAAAAGGGGGTGATTTGCTATATTATAACTTTTAGCAAGTCAAAATGACATGATTGGAGATGCTCTAATGCAGGTCCAGAGCATTTGGGAACCATTGTAAGCCTATGCATGTCATCGCAGGCCGACTCAAACGACACATCAGAAGCGTAATGCAGGCCGAGGCCATTTTGGAATAAGTCCACTTGACACATCTCGATACAAGTAAACAAATACTCTTTCGTCCTAGAGTGTTTGTCCGGATTTGTTTTAGCACAAAAACTAGTGTGGATTATAAAATGTCACAAATATCTTAACTTTAATTTGGGTATCCTCATCGTCTAGTCACATATTTTCTATTGATTAGGCCTAAGTAATATTGTGTTGGTGGCTATAGGTGAAATATGTTTTTCTAATGGGCCATTCTCTTTTGGGGCCCGAATGTGATAGACCCGTTTTGACAGGTCCAAGTCTGATTCAATATATACTTCGTATTATTTCAATTAAATAAAGAGAAAGAACTCATAAAATAAAAGTTATGGCCCGCCTAACTTTTAAAGCTTTTGGTTAATAGTATTAAAAAACAAAAACATTGGGCAGCTTAGGGTCACATACAAGGTCCTGTTAAGACATGAGGCCCGTCCTAAAAATTTTGGGACCCTTTTGTGAGACAATTTGAGATCTATGTTATTAATTTATTTTATACTCTCCCCAACTTAGGATATTCGTCTAATTTTAATTTTTTGAATCAAACTTAGACAAATTTTAATTGTCAATTATGGAGTAATAAAATCGCACCGCAAAATGATGCAATGACATAAATTTTTGTAAACTTAACACAATCTAAATGTAATAAAAAAAATTGTTCTGAAAAATTTGCATCAACTATTATAGTCTACTCTTTTAACTCCATGAATAAATTCTCAATATTGTTGTCTCAGTTTTATTTGGCATTATACAAGATTTTTCCTATTTAGATATGTTAATTCTTCACAGAATTTTTTCTTATTTTGGGACGGATGGTCCAACATTATCCAAAATGGTCTTCAAAAAAATATTTCCAAAGTCTTTAGGTCGTTCATTAGGATGGCCCGTCGACCACGCCCGCAACACGAGTCCTTGGTCTTCAAGGCTAAACAACGGTCCAAAACCAGACTGGACCACTCCAATCAGACCAAGATCGTACATACTAGGACCGGATTAGGGGAGTTCACGGACCAAATAACCCAGAGACCAAACCGGGACAAAAGTACTAACATAAACAAATTCTATAAAAACAATTCAAAAGCTTTGAGACTAACATAAAAAAATTCCAAAAAGCTAAGGATATGACAAAAGTACTAAAATGACCAAACTGTAACTAGTCTTAGAGGAGAACAAAGAAAACATGTCTATCTGCTAACTAGTTCACCAAATTTCAGCCTAAAAACACCATTTCAATGCCAAAGGAACAACACACGAAAGGGAAAAGAGATCAGACCTAAATGATAAACAATTGCTTTTCAAAATACTCCTGGAAACACCCAGTACGATACAAGCAAACCCTATTTTTTACTGATCTTTTGCGAATCGTTCTTCCTCTTATCATCGTAACTGCAAATCTGCACCAACCGTTCAATTTTGCTGAAGATTTCATGGGTAGAATTGACAATCTAAATCCTAAAATGCTAAGTTGATGGGGAAACTCTGGGGGGTGGGAGCTTTTCGCGTTTAGTCATGAGAGGGATTCGGCGATGAAATATTGGCATTTGGGATTCTTATTACTTTCACACGAAAAACAACAATGAGTAGCAAAATGTAACAATAGTTGTGCTCAAAATCTTACAAAATTATGGAGTAATAGTTAGGGACCGGACCAAATCTATCTTTTGATACTCAGATGAAGTTTTGATAAGCTTTGAGTATCTAACAGTCACACTATAACTATACAAAACCAGCAATTACTTTGATTATTAACAGTAAACCATGAAAATAACAATCCAAGTGCATTTTCTAGCTCATAAAGTATATATATATATATATATATCTTATGCATACATTCATTCATTTGGCAATATATCAACAAGTTGATCAATTGAAAAGGGATACAGGGAGAATACCACAAAGATAATGCTAGAATTAATGAAACAAAGCGGGTATTTGCAAACTCCGATCTATTTCGGTTTGTAGTGTGTTGTGAGGGATATTTCATCTTATTCTGTCGAGGTGCCGGTGACCAAATCCCTACAGTCTCATCATCGCATGCCGATGCTAGTATCGTGGGCACTTTAGCATTCTAGATCACACTGTTCACCTCATCATAGTGTCCCAGCAAGGCCGCAATCAGTTCATGATAATTGGGGCTCCATATATACCTTAACATTCATAGTGCCACTTACAACGAACCGGGGATGATATCTCACCAAAGCATGAACCAATGATAAGAGGAGTCATTGGTTCATGCCTTTACGGGAGGAAATCATCGGTCTACATTGTAAGTGATAGAATATCAATGGCAAAGTGTGTGTATATATATACATATATGGATCTCCAATTGTCATGAGCCGAATGAGGCATTCAGACACTCCAATGAGGGGGGCAGTGTGATTTGGAATGCCGACGATACTAGCATCATCTGCGAGAGACGATGGGACTGTACGGATTGGTCACTGAGACCTCAAAGAAAAAAGAGGAAAATATCCGCCACAACACACTACTAACCAAAATGGACGGGATCGGAGTTTGGAGCAAGTGCAGAGCTGACCGGGAAAGGAAGATGGGATGGGATTGGATCAGACGAGTTTGGTGGAAGAAGAGGGTTGGGATTGGGGACGACGAGAGGGGCACGGAGGTCGTCGTCGTCGTCGTCCGGGTCGTAATCCGGGTTGAGGCTGCGATCTAGGGCTTGGCGGCCCTTGTCCAGGCAAGGCTTGCAGGCCATCTCAATGGTGATCCACCCCAGTGCTACCCCCGCTATTGCTATCAACGACGCTGTCACCGCCCCCATTCCCTCTCTCTCTCTCTCTCTCTGTCTCTCAATTCTGATGATCAGAAGAAGACTCTCAGTCTTGCCCTCATCAGTGATCTGTTCCATTTTCTCTTGTTCCTCATCTGGCTAATTTGACCAAAAAGGATGAAATGTTGGGGTATGTATGGGTGAACATTTTAATTTTTAACCGACCCAAAATAGAATTAATGCATTGCCTCCCAGTAGCTTTTAGTGTTAACGCTTTCAAAATTAATCAATAACGTGCGGACAAAAGAAGTAGATTTTTCATGAAGTTTTTTAAATATATAAGTTTTAATTTTTTAATTTCATATCATTATTCAACTAAACTATGTTGAAGATAATTTTAATCAAACCTCGTAAATAACAACATACAATTTAAATTTGAACACTATAAATATATCACAATAATTAAACTATCCAAGGATACAAGACCAGAAATCTCCCAACAAGAAAAGAGTACACAAGTTTAAGGTTCCCAAACATAACTTCGGAAAAAACACAAAACATGCATTATACAACTGCCAACTACAAGGAAGAGTTAAACACTATAAATATATCACAATAATTAAACTACTATCTATTAAAATAATATAATATAATTAATCAAATTATGTAATTAATATTCTGTCTGTATCACTTCTTCACCAGACAACATTTTCAATGGTAGTAGCAATGAAATCTAAGCGAAGAGAACCTGTGCACTGGATGGCGAGAACTCGCAGAGGTTGTCGGGCGCATACACAACTCGCCATTGAACATTGAACCCAAACTCCTTCCCACAAGTCTTAAGGCGCTTGGTTACGAGTCCCACAGCGACCTTAAGGTACTGTCCTACAACAACGATCCTGTTGTCGTAACAGCTTACGCAGAAAGGCTTACATATCTGCACTGGCAACGGAGGACCATCAACCGTGTCCCAACTATCTGTTTCAAAGTAGTATACCTTAACCTTCGCACTCTCATGTTCGGTTACAACAAACAGGTGCCCTTCAATCACGACGCTTGAACCTGTCCAACCTTCCCTAAGCCCGGAGGGTATACCCTCCCACGTATCTGTTTTCGGGTCATACGCTTGTCCCATTGGGACAACATAGAAGGGCCAAAACCAACCTTCTGTTATGAAAAGCTTCCCATTGAGAACTGCGGAGTCATACGAGGAGAGATACAGTCCTATATTGGACACGGATTTCCATGTCCCGTTACTCGGGTTTAGGACTTCAGCTGAGTTGAGTTCAAAAAGCTCTGCACCGTTCCCACCAGCTACGTAAAGCATCCCATCTATAAGCCCAATTCCGAAATATGACCTTGGGGTGATCATGCTTTTCATCACGCTCCAACGGTTAGCCCCAACCTCATACTTAAGTACCAAGTTGAGGGGATAATCCGCGTCCGAGACTAACCCTCCACAAACAAACATCACCCCGTTGTGGGGTAGGGAGACGCACCGGAAGCCATGGGCGGTGGCGTTGTCCTTGCAGGGCATAGGAGGGATTGCGTGCCACGAAAAGTTGGTGAGATCTAGAACCTTCCATTGGATTTTGCCAGTGCGTTTGTGGAAGGCCAATACGAAGAGCCACGGCTCGTGGAACAAAAGTTCTTTTCTCAAGGAGAAGAATCTCTCCTTGTGGGCAAATAGCAAAAACCAACGCTTGCTCACGCCTTTACACGAAAGATGGTTATCGACTGTGACTCTGAGGAGACAATGGAGAGCCACGTCGTCCGGGAGCCCGGGAAGTAGGGGCTCCCCTTTCACAGCCAATTCATTGTCCATTGAAGGGTCATCTAGCAGTGAGGACCTTAGGGACACTATCCTGAATTTGGGGGACAATGTCCTATTGGAATCCCCCAGTTTATGCACTAGAGACTGTTCAGATGATACCATCACCCTTTGCATCTCCAGCCTTCACACAATTAGGATCCTTTTCTTCTTCAACACAACCAATTCCATTTATAGCCCTACTCCATCAAAACTGATTGTCAATGGGCATTAATTTTCAAAACAAAATAAGGGTACAAAATAAGACACAAAAAACACAAAATCCCCGTGAATTCAAACTTCTGAACTTTGGAATCATATTCACACAAAAAGGGGTTCCAACATTTGTGGCTGAAATTTTGCCAATCCCACGGAATTGGAAAACTGGGAATTCCATAAAAACCCAAAAAATAATTTCACATTCCAAATACGAAAATTTTGGGTTTGCAGTACCAAACAGGACTTTAGAAGCTAGCTGGTTCAGAACCTCAAGAAAATGAAAACCCCCTCACATGAAAGAAATACCCATATTTTTAGAATGCAAAAAAGTTAGTCTTTAGTGATTATCAGTGTACAGTGAGGGAAATTGAAGGTAAAATGGAAATTAAAATTGAAAGTAAGGACAAGGTACGAACCTGGATTAAGGAAAAAAAATGAATGGATGGAGGATGGTCATGACTTGAAGTCATGAAGAAGACAGTTCAGTTCAGCTGTGTCCTCATAAAAGAAAAAGAAAAAAAACCGTACTTTGTGTTTACATCACAAATTGGACAATTTGACACTTTTAACTTTCGAAGTCAAATTACATTAAATTGTACGATTCATTTTTTTTGAAATACGATTCATTGTTCATTACTTTTTGAGTAATGCTAGAGTCACAAACTATTGGGACACAAATTACACAAACTTTCTATTTTTGTACTTTTCCGATTGAATAAAGTGATATTAAATGCTTACAAAATGAAAATTGAGATACATAAATAGCAAGTTTGTGTAATTTGTGTCCCAGTAGTTTGTGACTCTAGCATTACTCTTACTTTTTAAAAATAGGTAGAGCTAAATGTTGGAAGAACTAAAAGCAATTGGAAAAATTAGAAAAAATAATAAAAAAATTGTGTATTTTTATATTATTCTCATTCTAATTCTTGTTATTATATATTAGTAATGTTGTTGTTGTTATTATTATAGTTGTTGTCGTCGTCATCACGTTATCTTAATGAATGCTTTTAAAATAAAAAATTATTGTTATTTTTCTTTCAAAAAAATTTCTTTTTGCAAAAAAAATTAATTAGAATATAAAATTAGCATAAATATCAAAATGTTGGATATTTAAAAGTTATTGTGGCTACGCTGCACGTCACTTTATTTATGCCATATTTATCATAAAATAATATATTTTTAATTATACTTTATCTATTACAAGATTTTATTTTAAATCTCGGACATGTCACATAATGTAATCAAACATATTTTTTAGTTTGATGAACAAACTAAAGATGCAATGAAAAAATTTAAAGATTAAATAATTGTTAATATTCTACAATGCAGTTAAGCTTAATTGAAGAACCTAAATAGGGAGTATAATTTTTACAATATGATTTTGTTGAAGATGATTGGATTATTTGCATTCATATGCGCAATATTTTACATATTAGAGACAATAAAAAGTAGATCAAATAAATAAAAGTATAACTTTTTGTTTGTTGTATTTTAATTATTGGTGATATTATTTGTTATCTGAATTTATTTTTTTACACTTTTTGGGTCGTTTTTTCTTTTTCAATATATAGTTCTCTCTTAGTTTTCATAATGTAGTACTCCCCATCCCATTCCATTATTATATTTTATATTAAAATATTGATGTTTTCTTATATAAATTTAGATTAAAAACGTTTTATGTAACTATTTTATCCATAGTTTTTTTTAAATGGTTTAAAATATTGATGTTTTCCTATTTTATCCTGTAGATTAATATGCAAAAAATGGTAATATTTAAATTAAAAAATTTTAAAAAATGATAATTGGTGTGAATCATAAAAATAGTGAGATGAAAAAATGAAATAATTTATAAGCTATAGTTATAAACATAATAGGTGTAATAATAATAATAATATACTCGGAGTATCATTTTTAGAATAATTGGTCAGGAATTCAAAAGAGTTTGAAGAAAATAAAATAGTTAGAAAAACTGGAAGGAACTGGAAACAATTGGAAAAAATTGGAAGGAACTGAAAAGAACTGGAAGAAACTGGAAAGAACTTGAAGGAACTGGACAGAACTGGAAATTAATAGTTCAAGCCCTAAAGAACAGACTCGTAGTATAAAATTACTTTTATGGTAAATATAAAATTACTATTCATAAATATATCTTGATGTGATTTTTAGAAGATATTACAGAACATAGCAATTTATAATTTCATATGTTCTAAAAACAATTCACCATTCACTATTACGGAGTAAATATTAATGACATCTTTTATTTATTTATACATTTTCATTGATTATTTTATCAAATGAAATATGCGTGTTGCCTCTTGTTTTGTAAAACCTTGACGCAGTTCTTAAATATGTAAATTTTATTATTTATTTTTATACCAATTTTTAAGTAAAATTAATTTTTAAAAAATTAAAATTTTGTTTTGTTTTGCGTAATGTGACATCCTTTTTGGATGAAGAGCAATAATTAGAGACTGTTCTTTAGGACTAGAAAAAAAGAATTGGATGTTGAAAGAAACTGGAAAAAACTGGAAGGAAGTCAAGGAACTGGAAAAAACTAGAAAAAACTAGAAGAAATTGGAAAAAACTGGAAGAAACTGGAAAAAACTGGAAGGAATTGAAAAAACTTCAAAAAATTGGAAAACCTAAAAAAAACTTTAAAAACATTTATTTTAAATTCTTGTTGTTATAAATAATAATAATAATTATTATTATTACTATTATTATTATTATTATTATATTATATTATTATCATCATCATCATCACGTTATCTTAATTAACGCCTTTAAAATATAAAAAAGAATTGTTATTTTTTAAATACAAAAAACTACTTTTTGCAAAAAATATAATTATAATATAAAGTTCGCATAAATATAAAAATATTAAATTTTAGAAAGTCTTTGTGGTTATATTGCACCTCAATTTATTTATGCGCAGTATTTATTATAAATAATATATTTGTAATTATAATTTATATATTACAAGATTTTGTTTTTAATATAAGACATGTCACATAATGTAATCAAAGCTATTTTTTCTTTTATGATTGACATTTTATTTTTTATTGAAGTCTTATTTTTGGAATAAAGACATAGAACTTCTTTTTTACTTTTTTTATGTTCTACACCTATTTTAGTCTCTTTCTCTAAACTATTTTGACTTACAATTTTTTTATAAAAATTAAAAAAATGAGCAAATTTTAAGTAATAAAGGGAAAGGTGAGAAGTCTTATATAAAGTTAGATTAATAAAACATTCAGGGCATGTTCTTTAGAGCTTGAACTCTTTACTTCCTGTTTTTTCCAGTTCTTTCCAGTTTCTTTCAGTTTCTTCCAATTTCTTCCAGTTCTTTCAGTTTTTTCCAGTTCCTTCTAGTTTTTTCCAGTTCCTTCCAGTTCTTCCAGTTTTTTCCAGTTTTCTTCTAATTTCTTCCAACTATATTTATTTTTTCAAATTTTTTCTACTTTCTGTCAAATCACTCTAAAAAAATATTATTATTATTATTACAACTTTTTTTAATTACAACTTTTATGTTCATAACTATAGTTTATAAATTATTTCATTTTTTCATCTCACTATTTTTATGATTCACATTCATTCTTTCAGTTTCTTCAACTTTTTAATATGAATAATATCGGTTTTTGTATATTAATCTAAATGAAAAATTAGGAAACTATTTAAAAAAATATGGATAAATAGTTATATAGAATATTTTTTAATCTAAATTTATATAAGGTAAATTATATTTAAGGGCCTGGAAGAATAATATTATGAAAACCAAGAGAAAACTACATTTTGATAAAGAAAAAATGACCCAAGAAGTGTAATATTTATGCTAATTTTATGTTCTAATTATTTTTTTAAACTAGCTTTTTATATATGAAAAATAATACTCGTAATATTTTTTTATCTTGAAAACAATCATTAAGATAACGTGATAACACTACCACTACCACCACCACCAACAATAACAACAACATCAACAACAACAACAATAATAATAATAATAATAATAATAATTTATAACAACAAGAATCAGAATGAGAATAATATAAAACCATACATAATTTTTTTTTAAAGTTTTTTAAGATTTTTCAATTTTTTCTAGTTTTTTCAGTTTTTTTTTTTAATTTTTTTTCAGTTTTTCCAATTTCTTCCAGTTCCTTCCAGTTTCTTCAAGTTCCTTCTAGTTTCTTCAAGTTCCTTTCACTTTTTTCCAGTTTCTTCCAGTTTCTTTCAGTTTCTTCCAGCTTCTTCCAGTTTCTTCCAACATCCAGCTCTTTTTTTCCAGTCCTAAAAAAACATGCCCTCAATGTCACTATTTTATCCATAATTTTTTGAATATAATTTAACATATTGATGTTTTCCTGTTTTATCATGTAGACTAATATATAAAAAATTGTCTTATTCATATTAAAAAAATTTAAGAAAAAATAATGAGTGTGAATCGTAAAAATAGTGAGATGAAAATAATAATTTATAAATTATAGTTATGAACATAACAGTTGTAATAATAATAATAGTAATGAGAATAATAATAATAATCACATTAAAATATATCGTTTTTAGAATAATTAATTGATGAGTAGAAAGAGTTTGAAGAAAATGAAAATAGTTGGAAGAAACTGGAAGTGACTAGAAAAAACTGGAAAAAACTGAAAGTTAAGAGTTCAAGCCTTAAAAAACATGCTCTTAGTGACCAAATTTAATTAACTTTGATATCAAGAGTAAAATTGTATCGCGAAAATAAATTTTTTTTGAAACAATTGGAATAATGAAAACGAATGCTCATCCGTTGAAGTACACTACACAAGTGGAAACATATCTACTTTTATAATAGAGTAATTCTATAAAAGGTCCCCAGTTATAGGTCGTTTTACATATTTAGTCTCTACATATCAAATATTATTAATTTAGTCTCCAATTATTATATCATTTTTCACGAATTGTCCTTTGTTAACGTATTTGTTAAAAACATGAATAAAATTCTATATTCATATTTCTCTCTCTCCTCAATTAAGTTTCCCCCCTCCTCTCGTACTCTTTCTCAAACTCGTCGCTGAGTTTGAAGCTCTAAACCCAAAACTGAAAATGATCACTCCTCTTTTAATAAGATTTATGGATGAGTTTTATCAGTTAGTCTCAAAAAATTGCAAAGAAAATAAACATTAAAACTCATCCATGAAAGTTATTCGTTTTGAATTTGGGTGCCAATAGTTTGATAAATATTAAAACTCATCCATCCGTTTCGTTCAACTTATTTTTTTTGATCTGATCTAATTTTTTGTAGTTCTGATCTAATAGGATCTGATCTGGCCTGATCAGATCTTGTTGGATCTGGTCTGATCTGATCTCATTGGATCTGATATGATCTGATTAATTATGATTTGATTTAAAATTCAAATCAATAATTTGATTTGACTTTATAATAACGTTTGAAAATTGTAATGATAGTTCATATTATAATATTATCAATATTTTTTATTTTATGAATATTTTTTAATAAAATTAGTTAATTCATATATTAGAATAATCATTCATATTATAATGTAATAATATTTT